ATCAGAAACAAGGTTTCTGTTCTATAGGAAACAAGGTTTCTGTTCTATAGGAAACAAGGTTTCTGTTGTATAAGAAACAAGGTTTCTATTAAATAAGAAACAAGGTTTCTGTTGTATAAGAAACAAGGTTTCTGTTGTATAAGAAACAAGACTTCTGTTGTATAAGAAACAAGGCTTTTGTTGTATAAGAAATAATATTTCTTTTGTAAAAGAAACAAGGCTTCTGTTGTATAAGAAACAATATTTCTTTTGTAAAAGAAACAAGGCTTCTGTTGTATTAAAAAACAAGGTTTCTGTTGTATAAGAAACAAGGCTTTTGTTGTATAAGAAACAAAGTTTCTGTTGTATAAGAAAAAAAGGCTGTTGTTGTATAAGAAACAAGGCTTTTCTTGTATAAGAAACAAGGCTTTTGTTGTCTAAGATCAAGGCTTTTTTTGTCTAAGAAACTAGGCCTCTGTTATATAAGAAACAAGGCTTTTGTTGTATAAGAAACACTCATTTTTTGTATAAGAACAAGGCTTTTATTGTATAAGAAACAAGGCTTCTGTTGTATAAGAAACACGGATTCTGTTTCTAATCAAGCAAGCTTCCTGTAACCTGTCTTAAACTATTGTTAATCATTTGTGTTTTTAACCAGCAATTAATACAGACCTCTGTTACCTGTCAGTCAAGCAAGCCTTCCGTTAGCTAAATGTTGGCTTAATTAACTGAATTGACTTGGGGTATTTTAACTTATTGATAAATAATAATTCAATTAATTTTTAAGCAAGATGTATGTTTGACAAGATGTATGTTAAACACGATGTATGTTAAACACAATGTATGCTAGACTCAATATATGTTAGACGCGTTAACATGACGTATGTTAACAGGGTTGTGTTAGACATAATGTATGTGAATCAAAGTGTATGTTAGACATGACGTATCTTAGACACGGTGAATGTCATACATAATTTATTTTAGACACCGTGTATGTTAGACATGATTTATGTTAGACACAGTGTATTTCAGATATGAAATGTGTTAGGCATGAAGTATGTTAGACGCCGAGTATGTTAGACACGGTGTATGAATGAAATGTGAAAACATTTATAATCCATCAAATCACTGTTCGGTTTATCAATTACTTAGAAAGGTTTATACTTAATGGTTTATACTTAATGGTTTATACTTAATGGTTTATACTTAATGGTTTATACTTAATGGTTTATATTTAAAGGTCAAGATTTCACCAAACAAAATGTATGTGATCAATCACAAGGGTATGACAAGTCGTGTTATATTTACATACACTGCTGTTGCATCACAAATGGTGTTATATTTACATACACTGATGTTACATTATATATTCTGTTATTTACATATACTGCTGTTACATCATATATTGTCTTCTTCTTCTTATACCTTTGTACCCCGTCTGAGGCAATGGCTGTCCACAAGAATCTTCCACTCATCACGGTCCTGTGTTTTCATTTTTCATTTGCTTCTAGGCGTATCCCATATTTTGCGTGTGTGCCTCTAACTCGCGTCTCCATGTATTCTTAGGCCTTCCTCTTTTTTTTTCCCTTTGGATTCTATGTTAGGCATTGTCTGGTGATGCAATGTCCTATTCAGCTCTATCTTTTCTTACGATGTCTTCATCAATGGGCACCTGTTATGTCCCTTCTAGTAGGTCTTTTTTGGTGATGGTATTTGGCAATTTAGTGTTCAGGATCTTTCTAATGCATGCGTTTATTAGGGTCTGTACTTTCTACTTAATGCTCACTGTTTTTTTTTCTCAAGTTTCTGCTCCATATACTAGGACCGTTTTGACATTTGTGACTTTGGTTTGCAGTTGCAGCTCCTACGACTCCCATAATTTTTTTTTTTTTTTCAATAATACAAAAGCTGATCTAGGTTTTCCAATTCTAACCCTTACATCCTCGTCGGATCCGCCATTGTGCTACTTACATACATTGCTGTAACATCATATATTGTGCTACTTACATGCATTGCTGTAACATCATATATTGTGCTACTTACATGCATTGCTGTAACATCATATATTGTGCTACTTACATGCATTGCTGTAACATCATATATTGTGCTACTTACATACATTGCTGTAACATCATATAGTGTGTTACTTACATACATTGCTGTAACATCATATATTGTGCTACTTACATACATTGCTGTAACATCATATATTGTGCTACTTACATACATTGCTGTAACATCATATATTGTGCTACTTACATGCATTGCTGTAACATCATATATTGTGTTATTTACATGCATTGCTGTAACATCATATATTGTGTTATTTACATGCATTGCTGTAACATCATACATTGTGTTATTTGCATGCATTGCTGTAACATCATATATTGTGTTATTTACATGCATTGCTGTAACATCATATATTGTGTTATTTACATGCATTGCTGTAACATCATATATTGTGTTATTTACATGCATTGCTGTAACATCATATATTGTGTTATTTACATACACTGCTGTAACATCATATATTGTGTTATTTACATGCATTGCTGTAACATCATATATTGTGTTATTTACATGCATTGCTGTAACATCATATATTGTGTTATTTACATGCCTTGCTGTAACATCATATATTGTGTTATTTACATACACTGCTGTAACATCATATATTGTGTTATTTACATACACTGCTGTAACATCATATATTGTGCTACTTACATGCATTGCTGTAACATCATATATTGTGTTATTTACATACACTGCTGTAACATCATATATTGTGTTATTTAAATACACTGCTGTAACATCATATATTGTGTTATTTACATACACTGCTGTAACATCATATATTTTGTTTTTTACATACACTGCTGTAACATCATACATTGTGTTATTTACATACACTGCTGTAACATCATACCTTGTGTTATTTACATACACTGCTGTAACATCATACATTGTGTTATATTTACATGCACTGCTTTTAAGTTATATATTTTGTTTTACATTTACATATATATTGTGTCATATTCGTATAATAATGTGTTTCCATTCAAAGACATCTTTTCATTTTTTATCACACTTAATGATAGGAAAATGTTTATTTTTTTATCCGTCATGCAAGTATTTATTTTGTTGTATTCAAATATACTACGGTTTACACGAAATTATGTTTGCCGTTTGCATACATTCATTTACACCACACATGAGGTTATTTTAAAAAAATGTTATAATTAAATTATGTTATATTAGCAGAAATGAAGAATTCTATTAGTTATAATATACTTCAATTTACGAACAGTTCATGTATATTAATTCAAATAACCATAATACCACGGATTATGTTCTATTGACTTAAGGTATAATACAGTTATGTCACTTATTGTGTTTTATACATATCTATTCTGTCCCATTGAGACATATTTATCCTAGTCTTATATTCATATATCTACTCTGTCACATTCGGACATATTTATCATAGTCTTATTTCCATATCTCTTTTGTCCCTTTCAGATATCTATCCCCTAGTCTTATATTAATGTATCTACTTTGTCCCATTTAGGCGTAGTCTTGTATTCATATTTCTACTCTGTGCCATTAAAACATATTTATCAAAGTCTTATTTTCATGTATCCACTCTGTCCCATTCAGATATATATCCCCTAGTCTTATATTAATATTATATATAAAAACAAGTCATTAACAAACACATTAAACATCCTTCACTTTAAGAACTATTTGAAGAAAAATGTTGGTGTAAAACTAAACCAAAAAAATGTTGGATGATACACCCCCCACCCATTTCATGACTGATACCTAAGACTAGTAAGAAAGTCTGGATCAGGGCGAATTCTTTCTCTTAACATTGTGGCCCACAATTAGAACGGTAACTTTGTTCCCAAGTCTGTAAGAATTATCAGCGGGTTGCCCCGGCCCTAACCAACTCGAAATGATCACAAATTAAGTCATTATTAGTATCACTATGGATGGTTGGCTTCTACGCTGGGTAAATAGTTTAAATGGCTTGGGTGTAAATTGTTATAATTATATCATGTTGTCTTGGTTAAAATATGTATTTATTGAGTAATAATTATCAATTTTATTTACGTGCTGAATATGAATAGATGCAATTTACTTTAAAAATAAAAAAAAAAAACATTTCCATCTATTTGGATCCATAAAAGAATCTGATCTTATCTTACTCTGTCCCATTAAAAGAATCTGATCTTAATCTGTCCCATTAAAAGAATCTGATCTTATCTTACTCTGTCCCATTAAAAGAATCTGATCTTATCTTACTCTGTCCCATTCAAACATAATTCCCCTAGTCTTATATTCATGTTTCTGTCTCTTGATCAAACGTGTTTTCCATAGCAACATCCTTCAGTGTCCTGACTCTGATGACAACACGCCCAAACAAGGAGCACTCTGGTCACTTTTCCTGACTGGTCGTAATATTTGACATTCTCCTTGTCCTTGATGTGATAGAAACACGCCATCTTGTGGTTGTCTACCGCACTGAAGAGTTTCTGGCACCTCAGACACTTGGACACCGTCATGTTGCCAGCAGCTTTGTGTCTTGAGATAACCCGAGGATGTCTTCCAGCGAAAGTCTTGGCGCTCGCCTCGGGCTTCTGGCCGTCGGTTAAAACTCTGTTCAAACTTTGAGTAGGAACATGTTGCGAGACAACGGGCAAAGCTTCTGCTGGATTATTTGGAGAACTTTTTTTGTCGTCTGTTTGCCTTACAGTTAAACACGACTGGACGTTGTATCGGTCACTCGTCTTGTGAGGGGCCAAGGTCACCGACCGCCCACTGAGTAAACTGGTAGCCTCCGTTTCTAGAAGTGCTTCGGACCTACTTCGGCATTGTGACGTTGGACGTTTGACCACTGCAAACTGTGCAGTTGACCACTTCGGATTGCCTTGTCTATTGAGTTGCTGACCGCACCTCTCTGAGTTTACTGGTTCCGTTGTTTGAGTTGTCTGTGGCTGGTGGGACATCACCAGGCTGGAGATTGCGTCGTGGAGAGACTCCTCAAGCTGCCTCGCTCGATGCTTTAATGCCGTCAGTTTTTCTCCTGATATTGCAATCAGTGACCGCTCTCTGACATATCTGAGATTTTCATTCGGGGTTGTACACCCCCCTGCGTCTTCTTGTGGTGAAGTGTTCGTTAGATTCTTCGATTGACTTCCACAAACTTTACTTTGTGATGACCAGGAGTCTGTCGATACGTCTTTACCGTTGGGCATGACATTGTTCACAGTTTTAACAACTCTATAAATGGAATCTCTGAGGTCGCCATTAGGTCTGAACAACTTACTGTTAGATTTATCGAGGTTGCCAAGCGTTGGGCCTAGTTTTCCCAGCCTGTGCCTGGTGACTGGTCCATCGTTTGTCCCCACACACTTGTTGTGCCTGGGGCTTGTTGCACTGGTGATGACTGCGTCCAGCTTGTCCAGTTGTCTCTGAAGGTCTAAAGCGTCATGCTGTTTGTCCAGCAATGTGGCATGTAGTCCCGACATCTCTTCTATCAGCTTTCTATTCTCTGACTCCAGTACACAGAGTCTCTCTTCTATCTCTCGCCTCTTGATGACGTCAAACTTGTGTTTTTCTGCCGTGTATGAGGCGAGGGCTTCTACCAGGCTGTAACAGGGGTGAGGGTGGAGACCAAGTATTTTCAAACACGTCTCTCTTTCAGTGATCAAGGCATAGCAACTATCTTCTAACTGTCTTGTTGTGGTTTCCAGCAAGTCTTTCCAGTCCACATTCATGTCTGTACTTTGATCAAGTGTAGCTCTGTCATGACGCGCATTACCGCCCAAGGTTGGCTCTGCAAAGGTTTTAGCTGTTCCACTTTCATTCGATAAAATCTTACTGCTTTCAATATCGAACGTTCTTGCTGGATGACACCTATGTGTGGATGAAAGTATATTGTCTAAGATTATTGGTTGTGTTGCGGCACCTCTTAAATCACCAGGGGCGTCCCAACGATTTCTCTCCGAGGCATCTATTTTATCATGACGTGCGTTGTAGACATGTTTCAAAACTGTGTCACACTTTGTGAATTGACTGTCTGTCGTTAAGCTCGTATCAGAGCCATTGACCGTACCTGGGAGGCCATGTATTACACTGAGTGAATCGTGTCCTGCACCATGAAGCGTTTCACCATCACGTTGTGTGTAGGTGATAGACATTGTTGGATGCATGGAGGTGCTACAGTCGCACACAAGAGTGTTGAGTCTGCTGGCTGTCTCCACGACGATGTGGCTCAGATGTGTCTTCTCTCTCCTGGTTGTCTCTGACATCTCCAATGTTTGTTTAAGACGCCTTGCCCAGGCATTGCGCTCACATTGGAGATGAGCGGCCAACCAGCCGTAGAACGTGGCGTAGTTTTCTCTCAGCACCCTAGGGGGAAGGACGGAATGCTTGTTAACCAATAAAACACACATTTCGTGATTTAAAGTGATTTAAATTGATCATGCTAACTTACCCTTGCAATATCTCTCATTCAGTTTTGATTGTAATATTTTAACAAATAAATAGCTATATTATAAATCAGTTGGCCATCAACTGTTCTGTGCGTTACCTCGAGATGATGAAGTTTCCCACCACGTTCGTCTTGAGGAAGTCGCTGACCATTGTCTTGATGTCCGAATCTATGGGAGTGTTCATGACTTCTGTAGCATTGATCTTTGGACTGTACAACAGCCTCTTGATGGCGGGGTCAAACTTATTGAGACTCTTGAGTTGGTCCAAGTTGGATAGGCCAATGGTCCTCACGTCTGACGTCCCAGTGACATCAGTGGTTCGTAGGATACCTGCAACTGTGTCTTCTGACAGCTGGTGTAGATCACTGGGTGCTTCTGCCGGCCGTCTTATTTTGTCATCAGTCCATGTTATTTTGTCATCAGGCTGTGCTATTTTGTCATCAGGCTGTGCTATTGTGTCATCTGGCCGTGTTACTGTATCATCATGCCCTGTTATTTTGTCATCTGGCCATGTTAGTGTGTCATCATGCCCTGTTATTTTGTCATCTGGCCATGTTACTGTGTCATCATGCCCTGTTATTTTGCCTGCATTAAGTGTCGACGTAGCGTTATCGTTGTCATCATCAGCTCGTGATGTGTCATTACTTTGATTATCATCACTGCTTGATGAATCGTCGCTGTTATCATCCTCGTGAGCACGGCAACTGTTATCACTTTGTTTATGATAAGTTTGATAAGTGGAATTATTGGGGATATTTTGTTTGTCATCATAAGCGGGTGATAAATTCTGGGCATGGTCCTCGCAACGACTTACAATAGAATAATCCACGTAGTTTTCCTCAATATTGACATATACATTCGAATAGGAGCTATTGTTAAACTCAGGGTACATATTCTGCTTGACTTCCTCTCTAGGGTGGCTCTCTAACAAGTGTGCGTTGGGCTTGACTTCCTGTCCATGATGGCTCTCTAGCACGTGTGTGTTGGACTTGACTTCCTGTCCATGATGGCTCTCCAACACATGAGTGTTATTCATGTTTTCCTGTCTAGGATTGCTCTCTACCTGGGGCATGTTTATCGTGTTGGTCTTACTATTCCAAACCCCACTGAAGCCATTGCCAATTTGTGACGAGGATTGCAAGTGCCCAGCAGCAGATTGCAAGAGTTGAGCGACTGAGTCTACATCTGATGGTACCACCAATGGGGAGGAAGTCATTGAAGTTGGAATGGTATTTAGTACATCGTGGGAGGGCGAGGGTCAGAGTTCAAGTCAAAGTAATGGACGCTGTGAACATGACCGGGTTGTTGTCCTAATTAATGATTGAATGGTTTTGGTTCCACTGTGACTCATTCCGTCGTGGGCATTTACGCAAGCATAAGACTTTGATTGGCCACTAAATATGTCCAGGATACGCCTGAGTTGTGACCTGTTACAGATTGGACCCGTTCCAATTATTGACCTGTTCGAAAAAAAAAACATCAATAAATCCTTTATTTTTTAAAATATTGCCTTATCTATTGCTTTGTGTTTTATTTGTTGGTGCTTTCGTTTACAACCTTCGAAATGTTTTAAAACAAGTGTACTGCTCTAATCAGATATGAACTAAATTATCCTGTACTAGGCACATATGAGCACGAATGTACTGTACTAGCACATATTAACAACCTTGTACTGTACTAGTTACACATTCACATTTGTAGTAGGCTAGTCATATATTCACATTTATAATTTTCTAGGCACACATTAATACAATTGTGTTGTACTAGTCTCCTATACTGGCGTGATGCACTAGACACCGTTACTGGCGTTAGTTACTAGTCACCTATACTGGCGTGATGTAGTAGTCACCTATACTGGTGTGATGTATTAGTTACCTATACTGGTGTGATGTAGTAGTTACCTATATTGGGGTGATGTAGTAGTGACCTATACTGGCGTGATGTAGTAGTTACCTTTACTGGCGTGATGTAGTAGTGACCTATACTGGCGTGATGTAATAGTTACCTATACTGGGGTGATGTAGTAGTTACCTATACTGGGGTGATGTAGTAGTTACCTATACTGGGTTAATGTAGTAATGACCTATACTGGCGTGATGTAGTAGTTACCTATACTGGCGATATGTAGTAGTCACCTATACTGGCGTGATGTAGTAGTTACCTATACTGGCGTGATGTAATAGTGACCTATACTGGCGTGATGTAATAGTGACCTATACTGGCGTGATGTAGTAGTTACCTATACTGGGGTGATTTAGTAGTGACCTATACTGGCGTGTTGTAGTAGTTACCTATACTGGGTTAATGTAGTAGTGACCTATACTAGCGGGATGTAGTAGTTACCTATATTGGGGTGATGTAGTAGTTACCTATACTGGGTTGATGTAGTAATGACCTATACTGGCGTGATGTAGTAGTGGCCTATACTGGCGTGATGTAGTAGTTACCTATACGGGGGTGATGTAGTAGTTACCTATACTGGCGTGATGTAGTAGTGACCTATACTGGCGTGTTGTAGTAGTCACTATACTGTTGTGATGTAATAGTGACCTATATTGGGGTGATGTAGTAGTGACCTATACTTGCGTGATGTAGTAGTTACCTTTACTAACTTGATGTAGTAGTCACCTATACTGGCGTGATGTAGTAGTCATCTATGCTGGCGTGATATAGTTGTTACCTATACCGGCGTGATGTAGTAGTCACCTATACCGGCATGATGTAGTGGTTACCTATACTGGTGTGATGTAGTGGTTACCTATACTGGCGTGATGTAGTAGTTACCTATACTGGCGTGATGTAGTGGTTACCTATACCGGCGTGATGTAGTTGTTACCTATACTGATGTGATGTAGTAGTGACCTATACTGGGGTGATGTAGTAGTGACCTATACTGGCGTGATGTAGTAGTTACCTATACTGGCGTGATGTAGTGGTTACATATACTGGCGTGATGTAGTAATGACCTATACTGTCGTGATGTAGTAGTGCCCTATCCTGGCGTGATGTAGTGGTCACCTATACTGGCGTGATGTAGTGGTCACCTATACTGGCGTGATGTAGTGGTTACATATACTGGCGTGATGTAGTAATGACCTATACTGTCGTGATGTAGTAGTGCCCTATACTGGCGTGATGTAGTAGCCACCTATAATGTGATGTAGTGGTTACCTATACTGGCGTGATTGTGTTGGTTACATATACTGGCGTGATGTAGTGGTGACATATACTAGCGTGATGAAGTAGTTACCTATACTGGCGTGATGTAGTGGTTACCTATACTGGCGTGATCTAGTGGTTACATATACTAGCGTGATGTAGTAGTCACCCACACTGGCTTGATGTTGTAGTTACCTATACTGGAGTAATGTACTAGTCACCTATACTGAAGTAATGTAGTTGTTGCTTATACTGGAGTGATGTGGAAGCCACCTATACTGGAGTGATATACTAGTCACCTATACTGACGTGCATATAGGAACCGTGAAAGGTAGAAGTCATTGTTCAAGCTTACACACTTTAGATAAAACTAACGATCGAGTTTCAGGTCGATGCAGGTCAATGACGATACAAACTCCTCACTGATCGCTCAATCAGATGAGAATGTAATGAGACGTGTAATGGGATGTTGTACGGAGTCCGCGCTAACATCTATTAAATCTGATGTATGTTTAAGTCCGTCAATTTACCTTGATGGCTAGAAATCAAACAAGCAACCGCACTTATTTAACCATACATCGCAGATGTTTATATTAGCACCCGAAGTTGTAGATCTTAGAGCAGGCTCGGGAACTTTTTTGTCTGAGAAAGCCATCGACACAACGTATTTTGAAAAGTAATTCTTTGAGAGCCATACATTATTATTAAAA